ACCCTCAAGCCCACAGAATTTTCAGTTGCTCAGTCATGGCTCTGGGCTCGTAGGCCACAGGCCTTCATCCACAAGGACCCAGAGCAAAGGCCAGGAGATGGATGATGGCATTATCTATGGGGGTACTTCTTTCCTTAACCATGGGACAGCACCCTGGACTCTCTGGGCCAAGGCCACCTTCCTGCCCATAGTCCCCACAGTCTGCATCTCACGTGGGTCGCACAGACCCATTACTGTGAAGTCTAGTCTGGCATGGAGCACCCTTCTATCTCATAGAGGTGACTTTGCAGGTCCCACTATCAGCAGGCTCCATTAAAACAACACCCTGACCACATGCCTCAAGATTTGTCCCGCCCCCCGCCCCCGCCCCCGGTTCGAGACCAGAGCAAAAGCTTGTCTCTAAAAATAGCCAGAATTTGTGGCGGGCACCTATAGTCTCAGTTGCTTGGGAGGCTGAGGCAAGAGAATGGCTTGAGCCCAAGAGTTTGAGGTTGCTGTGAGCAGCGACACTAGGGCACTCTACTGAGGGTGGCAAAGAGAGACTGTCTCCAAAAATAAAAATAAAAAATAAATAAAATTAAATTAAAATTAAAAAAGAAAATAAAAATAAAGAACTGAAAAGTTTGCTTTTAAATTTTTCCAAGTAAGGACAACTTTAAAAAATGATCACATATTATTATAACCACCATTTCATAAAGGAAGGGACACTTTAATCCTCCCCCAAATATGAATGCCCTACCATCCACTAAAGGGTGGTCATTTAGGCTGGGTGCGGTGGCTCATGCCTGTAATCCTAGCACTCTGGGAGGCCGAGACAGGTGGATTGCTTGAGCTCATGAGTTCAAGACCAGCCTGAGCAAAACCGAGAATCCATCTCTACTACAAATAGAAAAACTGAGCCAGAGGATCACTTGAGCCCAAGAGTTAGAGCTTGTTGTGAGCTAAGATACCACCGCACTCTACCCAGGGTGACAGCTTGAGACTCTGTCTCCAAAAATAAAATAAAATGAAATAAAATAAATAAAATAAATAAAGGATGGTCATTGAAATAAACTCTTTATGCCATCCTCATTTTTCTTGTTTCATCACAGATTATTAAAAAATCACAAACTGATTGATGATGCCAGTTTGCTGAGCTTGAACTATTATGAAAACCATTTTTTCAGAAGAAAAGAGATTGGATGAGAACAAAGAGTTTCTGTTTTTTGTAAGGATCAAACTGATGTGAGAGGCTCGGCACCTGTAGCTCAGCGGCTAGGGTGCCAGCCACATACACCAGAGCTGGTGGTTTGAATCCAGCCCAGGCCTGCCAAACAATAGTGACAACTACAACTAAAAAGTAGCTGGGCATTGTGGTAGGCACCTATAGTCCCAGTTACTTGAGAGGCTGAGACAAGAGAATCGCTTAAACCCAAGAGTTTAAGGTTGCTGTGAGCTGTGATGGTGCAGCACTCTACCCAGGGCGACAGCTTGAGACTGTCTCAAAAAAAAAAAAGAAAAAGAGAAATTGATGTGAGAAGAAAATTAATGAACAGAGGGGGAAAGATTTAAAAATCAGAACTAAATGCAATATAATAAGCTAGATGGGACCCTGAAACAGCAAAAGGACAACAGTGCAAAAAGTAATAAAATCCATATAATGTCTGGATTTTTTTTCTTTTTTTTTTTGAGGCAGAATGTCACTATGTCACTCTTGGTAGAGTGCCATGGCGTCACAGCTCACAGCAACCTCAAACTCTTGGGCTTAAGTCCCAGCCTCCTAAGTAGCTGGGACTTTAGGTGTCTGTCATAATGCCCATCTATTGTTGTTGTTGTTATTGTTGCTGTTTAGAAGGCCCAGGCCAGGTTTGAACCCACCAGCCCTGGTACATGTGGCTGGCTACAGAACTAACCACTGAGCATGGGTGCCGAACCATAATGTGTGCATTTTAGTTAATGATATTGTACCACAGCTGGGCGCAGGGGCTCACGCCTATAATCCTAGCACTCTCAGAAGCCGAGGTGGGTAGATTGCCTGAGATCAGGAGTTTGAGAC